AGCTGGGCTGGGCTGAGCTGGATTGTGTTGAGCTGAGCTGAATTGGGCTGAGCTGGGCTGCAATGGGCTGAGCTGAATTGGGTTGAGCTGGGCTGCGCTGAGCTGGGCTGGGCTGAGCTGAGCAGAGCTGGCCTGGGCTGAGCTGAGTTGAATTGGGCCGGGCCGGGCTGAGCCGAGCTGGGCTGGGCCAAGCTGAGCCGAGCTGGGCTGGGCTGGGCTGGGCTGGGCTGGGCTGGGCTGGGCTGCACTGGGCTGGGCTGAATTGGGCTGAGCTGGGCTGGGATGAGCTGAGCTGAGCTGAATTGGGGCAGGCCAGGCCGTGCTGAGCTGAATTGGGCTGGGCTGGGCTGGGCTGAGCTGAATTGGGCTGAGCTGGGCTGGGCTGAGCTGGGCTGGGCTGAGCTGGGCTGTCTTGTGCTGAGCTGGCGTGGAATGGACAGAGCTGGTTAGGCTGGGCTGGGCTGGACTTGTGGAGCTGGTTTGTCTCACTGGCCTCTGCCATGCTGACACAAGGTCGTCTGGACTATGCTCAGCTGGATTAGATGGGCAGAGTGGGGCAGGATGGACAGAGCTGAGCTGGGAAGCAGGCCAGGATGGGGTCTGAGGCTCCAAGGCCAGGGGAGGTGCAGGTGGCTATGTAAACCAGAGTAGCCTGTTGGGGAGGGACTGTGATGGGTTCTGTGGGGTCTTCATCTTCCATCCATGGGGCCTGTGGTCGGGCTCCCCAGGAGGCAAGCAGGGAGGTTAGAGAACCAAGGAGGCCTGGCTGGTCAGGCAAGGGGTAGGGTGAAGGGATAGCCATGGCGGAGCCCTCAGGGGACTGAGGAGCTGAGCCACGGCCGCAGGGAGCAGGGGCCTGGTGGGTGGCAGGTGGACCTGCCCATGACAAGGCCCATAGGGCTTTGGGCTGAGGGAGGGACACACTAGTGATTCAGGGGGGTAAGGGCCTCTGGATCCCCGGGCCTTAATGAGGTCTATGGGTGAGGGCAGAAGGAACAGTTTGACAGTTCCTGGGGGTCTCAGGGTCCCGCTCCCCACTGGAGGTCTATGGGTGGGGGCAGAGGGGCAGCCTGGTGAGTCCTGGGGGGCTTTCTGGGTCCCCAGGCACCAATGGGCAGCCATGGGCTCTGATCCTCAGCCTCAGGGAATGGGCTGGCACATCTACTCCTCAAGAACCCCACATTCAGGCACTCAGGGCCAAGGGCGGGGAGTCCTGGCTGGGGGTGGTGACAGCAACTGTTCCTGGTGGGAGCAGGGGTTCATCGGAGGGCATCTCTGCCGGAATCAAGGGATGAAGAAAGAGTCCAAAATAAGCCATCTGTCCCCTGAGGCTGGAGCAGGGGCCCCAGACCCCCTGGGCCCCAGAAGCAGTTGGCCTGGCACACGACGGTCAATGGCCCCAAGGTCAGTGCTGACTCTCCTCCGTCCTCGCAGTCTCCAGACAGACGCCATCCGTCTTCCCTTTGGCCGCCTGCTGCAAAGACACTGTCACCGCCTCCGTGACAGTGGGCTGCCTGGTCACGGGCTACTTCCCAGAGCTGCTGACCGTGACCTGGGACACAGGGTCCCTGAACCAGAGAACCGTGACCTTCCCTGCCATCCTCGACCCAACTTCTGGCCTCTACACCACCACCAGCCAGGTGACCGCCTCAGGCGAGTGGGCCAAGCAGAAGTTCACCTGCAGCGTGGCACACTCGGAGACCCTCATCAAAAACAGCGTCACCGGTGAGCCACGACGGCCGCGCCCGCCACACAGGGGGCGCTGTCAGAGGAGGAAGGGCCGGCTTGGTGGGAGGGGTAGGGGGGCTCAAATGATACCGCTGCTGGTGATGCCCTGGGCTGGGACGTGGGGGCCCGGGCTCAGGGAGGCCAACACTGTGCCTGCCACCCTCACCCCCAGGGTGCACCGTGGCCTACACCTCACCCACTGTGAAGCTGTTCCACTCCTCCTGCGACCCCCGCGGCGACTCCCACACCAGGATCCAGCTCCTGTGCCTCATCTCCAACTACACCCCTGGTCACATCAACGTCACTTGGCTGGTGGACGGGCAGGAGAACAAGGACCTGTTCACGCACACTGCCCCCGCCAAGCAGGAGGGCGAGCTGGCCTCCACACGCAGCGAGCTCAACATCACCCAGCGCCAGTGGGAGTCCCAAAAGACCTACACTTGCCAGGTCACCTACCGAGGCATGACCTTTATGGACCAGGCCCGCATGTGCACAGGTACAGCACCCCCCCAACGCCGACACCCAACACTCGGAGGTCAGAGGGGAGGGCAGCACGCGGCCTCACGCAGCCCCCTTCCCAAACAGAGTCTGACCCCCGCGGCGTGAGCGTCTACCTGATCCCCCCTAGCCCACTCGACCTGTACGTCCACAAGTCACCCAAGGTCACCTGCCTGGTGGTAGACCTAGCCAACAAGGAGAAGTTACACATCACCTGGTCCCGGGAGAGCGGGAACCCCGTGCAGAAGGACACAATGGTCGCCAGTGAACAGTTTAACAAGACATTCTCCGCCACATCCACCCTGCCTGTGGACACCACCGACTGGATCGAGGGCGAGACCTACAGGTGCACGGTGACCCACCCAGACCTGCCCAAGCCCATCGTGCACTCCATCCTCAAGGCCTCTGGTGAGCTGCAGGCCAGAGGGAGGTGGGCGGGCCCTTGGGCAGAGCCTGGGCTGACCCCATGCCTGTCCGCAGGCAAGCGTGCTCCCCCCGAGGTCTACGTGTTCCCGCCACCCAAGAAGGAGGAGGAGACCAAGAACAAGGTCACCCTCACCTGCCTGATCCAGAACTTCTTCCCCTCGGACATCTCCGTACAGTGGCTGCGTAACGATGTCCTAATTCAGACAGACCAGCAAGCCACCACCCGGCCCCAGAAGGCCAACGGCCCCAGCCCAGCCTTCTTCGTCTTCAGCCGCCTGGAGGTCAGCTGGGCAGACTGGGAGCTGAAGAATGAATTCACCTGCCGAGTGGTCCACGAGGCGCTGCCTGGCTCTAGGACCCTCGACGTACAAGTGTCCAAAGACCGTGGTAAATGATGCCCTCTGGCCCGCCACCTGCTCTCCCTCCCAGGGCTCCATCCTGCTGGGGTGGAGGTGGGGACCAGCCAGACCTTCTGTCCGTCATTGTCAATAAACACTCCAGTGCCTGCTCAGAGCCCTGGGCGCGCCTGTTTTAGGGGGTGTGCCGGGCTGTGGGCAGGGGCGTCTTGGTGCAGAGGAAAGGACCCCCAGAAGAGGGGACCAGAGGGGCGGGGCAAGGCTGAGGCGTGGCTCCGTGCACGGTCACCATCGTGTCAGTGGGCCCTCCCCACAACCACACTGTGGGTCCTGTCCACTCAAAGGAGTCCTAAGAGCCAGAGGGTGGTCCCAGGGGAAGGACCAGGGGACCTCAGCCCAGCCCACAGCCCCTACCTCTCCTGGAGGCCCTACAGGCCTCGGCCTCCACCCCCAGCCTCCTGATGGCCCCCTAAACACAGACAAGCCCCAAACCCCCAGGTCCAGCTGTCCACACAGGCTCTTTGGGTCGAGAAATGGGCAGAGTCAGACCCCCACAAGCCCAGACACACAGGGACCCCAGGCAGCCGCACCCTTGTCAGCCCCATTTGCCATCACCTCCAGAGCACAGTGGGCCGGGGCAAGCCCCCAACCCACACAGGGGCCAGTGCTGAGCCCATGGCACACCTCCGCCCTCTGACCCCTTCCCCACTCACATGGTCACAGCAGGCTGGGGTCAGCACCCAGTGCCCCTGTCTTGCTGCCTGGCCTCACTCCACCCTGAGTTGGTCCTGGGGAAGGGCCCAGCCCTCAAACACAGGCTCCTGGGAGCCTCACACACGGTCATATCCACTTGTGCCAGTGCTCACACGCTCACACTGCGCCAGCCCCACGCCCACACCAAGTCACACGGTGACTCCACCAGCACCCACACCGCCAACAATGGGCACCCTACACGAGCTGATGTGTCTCGCATGTGCTCTCGTGTGGCCTCCCAGGGCCCTCCCTCTTGCTCAGGCACGCCCAAGCCGTCCCTCGAACCCTGGGTCACACCCGGACCTCTGGATCCAAGGTGGACATGGAGGGGCCTTCCACCCTGGCTGAGAGCCCAGTAAGACCCACATGGCTTCCTTCTGTGGTCCCGGCCTTCCCAGTTCAACCCTTTCTTGTCAGCTGCACCCCATGGACAGACAGATGGACACTGACACAGACACACAGACACACATAGATGGACACACACATGGACACAGATAGACGCACACATGGACACACACCCCCAGGGTATGGGCTTCATCTCGCTTTCCTGCTAAACCACATCTCAGAGCAGGCTGCTGGTCCCACCCCACCCCCACCCAAGCACCAAGCCATGTGCACATGGCCCAGACCCCCCACTCTCATCCTGTATGCACACACACACACTCCCTAGCACACGAGCACCCACTGTATCCACAGGAAAAGCAGGAAAGGGCCAGCCCACACTCTGAAGACACCAGCCCAGAGGCACTGGGGCCCTCCTGTGCTGGGAGGGGAGGGGGCCCAGCCCCAGGGCAGGTGGAGCCGAGAGGCTGCGGGACATCTCCGGGCCAGCGTAGGGCCAGGAGGCAGCTCTGGGCTCCCCCAGGCCTGGGCAAGGTCCACACAGCTGGCCCAGCCCCTCAGGACACCCGCTGTGATGACGTGATGATTTGTGGGGCTGTCCCAGGTCCTATGAGCCAGGCTGCAGAGCTCAGGCCCCTCCTTAGAGCTCCAGGTGGGGCAGCCGTCCGTCGGAGTGTAGCTTGGAGGGGTCCCCAGGCTGGCGAGGGTGGAGATGAGCTGGGATTGGGCTGGGCGGCCTGATGCAGCATCGGGGTTGGGGGCTCCACGGACATGGGGGGTGGGGGACAGAGCCCGAGCTGAGGTCAGGGGCCTGTGGGGCTGAGTGGGGGTGACCGGTAGTCAGGGGAGAAGCCGTAAGAAGTGAAGGGAGAGAAAATAGGGGCCATCTTGGGGGCGGGGTCAGGAGAGGGCAGAAGATGGGCCACTCCCACACAGCCGCCGGCCGACTTGGGGGCTTCAGACCCCCAGCCCTCCAGGACTGGCTGGTGGCTCTGGGTAGCTGCAGAGGAGGCTGGACAGGGAGCTCTGCACTCTGGCCATCAGCGGGGGCTGCGGAGACCAGGGTTTCAGGAATGGGGTGCATGCGGGGCCCTGATTCACTCCACTCTGAGGGCGGCCAGGCCTGCCCCGCCCCCCGCCACAGGCCGAGGCCAGGAGGGCTGACTGCTGGTGCCCACAGAGCTGGACCTGCAGGACCTGTGCGTGGAGGGGGCTGAGAGCGAAGAGCTGGAAGGGCTGTGGACCAGTCTCTTCGTTTTCATCGCGCTCTTTCTGCTCAGCGTCAGCTACAGTGCCACCGTCACCCTCTTCAAGGTGAGAGCACAGACGGGGCTTCCAGGGCCGGGCAGAGGGGCCTGGGAGGCCCAGAGAGAGGGAGATCCCGAGTCCGGGGAACAAAGCCGCCCTCACGCGCACCTCCTCCCAGGTGAAGTGGGTCTTCGCCGCCATCCTGCAGGAGAAGCCCCAGACCGTTCACGACTATACGAACGTCATGCAGCCAGCAGCCTAGGCCTGGAGACCGAAAAATGAGGCCTTGCCTTCTCCCTGTCTCAGCATCCCTGAGGCTGCCTGCTCTGTCCTGGGTGGGAGGAGGGGAGCAGCCACCCCCCAAAGGGGCCAAAGCTGGGGACCCAACAACCAATGCATGGGCATCCGGCAGGTTCCAGCTCAGCCCCAAGGTTCAAGGACCCACAGGACCTGCCAGTCACAGCCCCCACCCCACCCCACTTTGGGACAAGCCCCAGAATAGCATCTGTCCCTTCCACAGAGTGACCTGGGCTGGGCATGGGTGTGATCACCCTGCGCTCCTCCCAGGCTCCTGGCGGCAGAACCTCTCCCATTTGACTGAACAACCCCTGAAACACAATGAGGGCCTGGAGCCCATGGCCCAGCCCACTGCTCAGAGTCTGAGTCCAGCCTGAGGCCTCACTCCCCAGACTTATTCCGACCCTCCCTGCCCCCATGTTCAAGTGCCCAACCCCTTCCCTCTGCCCACCCTTCCTGCTGTCCACCAGAGCCCCACCCCTACAGAACGAGGAGGCAGAGAAGCCCTTCTGGGGAGAGGCCACAGGAGTGCTCGGGGCTTCGTGCAGAGCCCTTGGGGTGGAAGGAGGAGTCCCACAGCAGAAGGAGCTTCCCATGGGGTCCACACAGCAGCCGCCTCAGCCCAACTACCCCCAAAGCCGTCCACCATGGCCCCATCCAACCTCTCACTCCTGGCTTGTCGGTCCTGTTTCCTTCTCACCAGGTTTCTTAGTAAAGTTCCTTTTTACAAACCCACGCCACCTGAGCATGCTTTGGGGGTGGTAACTGTGGTCCCACGGGGGTGGGAGGCAGGGCCCCCAAGAGCGTGGACGGGGGACCAGAAGGGAGGGGTAGGGGGCAGCTCTGGGGCCCTGAGGGCCCAAGTGGCCAGCCAGCTGCTGTCTTAAGAGTCCTTTCAACACCTCCACAGATCCCCAGCTCAGTGCCCATCACACCTGCTCCAGTGGTCTCCAGCCCAGACTCACTGCCCCCTCCCACGCTAATGTGAAAGCAACAATTCCAACCCCCGTGGGCCAATCCGAGGGGCTGATTCTGTGGTTGGTGTAGGAACCACAGGGACACAGCTGCACAGTCACCATAGGGGACCAGCATCAGCCTCTGGGATCACCGGTCACCCACCCCAATCCGTGCATCCACTGGGTGCACGCAGACAAGCCAATCCTTGGTCCCCATTCCCCCCATTCTGCCAGCCAGCCCACTCAGATGTCCTGATGAGCTGAGCCAGACACATGAGCTGTCTGGGGCTGGCCGCTGCCATCCTTGAGAAGAAGCCTGGTGAGCCGGGAAGGCAGGAGCCACAGGCATCGTGAGGCAGTCAGCTGGCCAAGAACAGTGGTGGGCACAGAGCTGTGCCCCTCCTCAGGACAATAAGGTGGTTTCTGTGGTTGGAGAGACCTGCCACAACCGTCTCTGTGAAGTACACTGGAAGTGGGGGCAGAATATGTGAACACACGTGACGAAAAGGGCAGGATTCCCTCATACACAAAGAGCACTCAGGAACCAATAAAAAAGAAAAGTAGGGGCCAGCCTGGTGGCGTAGTGGTTAAGTTTGCACCCTCTGCTTCAGCAGCCCAGGGTTCGTGGGTTTGGATCCAGGCGCAGACCTACACATCGTTCATCAAGCCATGCTGTGGCGGCATCCCACATGCAAAACGGAGGAGGATGGGCATAGATGTCAGCTCAGGGCCAATCCACCTTGAGCAAAAAGAGGACGATTGGCAACAGATGTTAGCTCAAGGCCGGGCTTCTTCACCAAAAAAAGAAAAAAGAAAGAAAAGTGAGCAGAGGGTCCTTCACAGAAAGGAAAAACTAGGGGGCCAATAATAGGAAGAAAATGTTTCAATAATTAGAAACTTTACAATCTGGATGAAACCCGGGGTAGGGGTGGCCCTCTTGGCCCTGTCTGAGGGTGTGTGAATTGTTGAGAACGTTTGTCAGGGCCACATTCCCAGCACACACGTGCCCAGACCCTTTTGACGGGAGATTCCACTCTTGGCGATGGCCTTTCAGAGAGAGCCTTGCTCCGTGCTGGGAGACATGGTGTCACATGGAATATGACACGGACCCAGGATGGACATGAGCTCTGACAGCGAGTGCCCAGCCTTCAGGGGTAGGACCTCAGCAGCAGGCCTCCTGTTGAGGGTAGAAAACCCAGGATTGGGCAACTCTGAGGCTTGTCTCAAGACACCGAGGATTTGGTCTAAACAGAGCCTCAGAGGAGCAGAGATCTTTTCAGGACAAGGCCAAGGCTGCAGCTCCGCCCCGCTCTGCACTCACATGCAGACACACATTGTCACACACTCAGGGACACTCAGGCACCTTCACACATTATCACACACTCACACTTGCACAAACACACACACACGTCGCAGGAAACCAGGCCCTAAATCCACCCACCACCTGCAAGGTTCTCGTAAGCCGAGGCCCAGGCGCCTCCTCCCGTCTCCTAGGCGGGGAGCCCCCCAGGGCAGAGCTGACTGTCTTCTTTCTCTGACTTTCACCCCGGATCACAAGACC